GCGTGGGGGAAGGGGAGCCCAAGCGCCCCGGAACCCCGCGGCCCACATTCGGAAGCGTTTTCCAGGGCTACTTAAGGGCTTAACAATGGAAAACTCGCGGAGCCGGAGCCAAGTCCTTTCAAGTCGCCGCCAGGTATGCGGCTGCAGGTGACCCCACCTTGCTGCGCCCGCCCGCCCGCCGCCCCGGTCCTCTCGGGAGAGGGCGGGTGTCAGATGTCAACGTTGGTGGAAGGTCTCCACTGGGGTCTGCAACCCCTTCCCCAAAGCCCCTCACTGGGCAGCGCGCAGCCGCGGTGCGTCCCGGAGTCGGCGCCGCGGCGCGCCGGTTCCTGAATGAACGCACTCCCTTCCCCCGCCTTGAATGAAGGTTCCCACAGCCAGGGACGGTGGCAAACGCGCCTGCCGCGGAATTCGCCCTCTCCGGGGGGACGATCCGCCCCGGCCGTGGTCGCCCCAGTGGGGGGCCGGGGGGCGAGGAAAGTGGGAAGGTGATTTAAGTTACTTTTGGATTTTCTTTCCAATCAAAGTGGTTTCCCTCCCGACTGTGCCACCAGCCTTTTATCTCCAAATGGTCACCAAGAAATAAGCGCAGAGCACTTTAAATGAGCCCAGAATTCGCAGTTCCTGCTTCTTGGTGGGTTTTTTTTAAAGGCAGTGCAAAATTAAAACTGCAACAGAAAACTTTTTAAAAGTTGCTTTTCTCTGGAAAAAAAAAATTAAAATCAAAATTTTTATTTTGTCTCCTAGAAGCAATCGCCCTCCAGGGCCCGGGGCTGTTGGCCCCCTCGGGGGCTCCGGGGCACGCAGATCTGGGCTCCCCGGGGTGGGGGCTGGGCGGCTGGCGCTCCCTGCCCGGCCCCAAATTCCAGCGCCTCCCCCGCGGGTTCCTGGACGGCTCTTCACGCTCGCCGGCTGGGCTTGCACTTTTGCGCCCGTCCCTGAGCGGGGAAATCAACGAAGTTCCTCGTCGAGATCTGCCCGGTCCGCCTAGTAACAGCGCCGCGCCCCCATTGGCTCATGCTAATTCCAGTTTCCTCTGTCTTTCTCCCGGGTTGGGGGGAAGCTCCCTCCTGGACCTGGAGCCCCTTTTGCCGGAGTGGGCGAGCCTCTTTATGCCCCGCTTCCCCTCGCTGTCGCCCGCCCGCCTCGGGCAGGGCCGGGGCGCACGCGGGGCTCGGGCCCCCACGCCCCCCGGGACGGGAGTCGCCAGGCGAGAGCGCGCGGCCCCATAAATCATCGGGGCGGCCGCCCGGTCGGGATTTTATGAATGAAAAAGCAGTCGGCAGCCCTCGTGCGCGGGCTGATGCTCCGAGGCTCCGCCGTGCCCCCGGGCCGGCGTGAGCGTGGGTGCCCGGGGAGGGGGACACGGCGGGGGGCGCTCCCTGTTCGGGCCACCCACCACTTCGGAGGCGTGAGCCGGGGGTAATTACCCTCCCGGACCCTGAATATTAGTAACCCTAATTCCCGGCGGGGGAGGGGGCGCAGGAACAATCAGCCCCGAAAGGGCGGAGAGTCTTATCTTGTTGCGCGCGCCCTTGTGAAGGGGAGGGGGCTTTTTTATCCGTTTTCTTTGCGTCTTTACTGTTAGGGGATCCGGTGGTTTGATGACACTAAACTATATTCAGAGGGAAGTAAATGAACAGTTTTCTTAATTTGGGGCAGGTAGTGTAAAAACTGTAAAAAAAAAAATGTTAAGACTGGGTAAAATGTCTTTTTATTTAAAAAAAAAAGCACCAAAAAGAATCTTTGATTAAGAAAACACTTTATTCTTTTGTATGTCTCTGAAGGTTGCGATAATATTGGGGACCCTCTCATAAAACCACGAACATATATAGATTTTGTTTAAAATTATCAGATCAACACACCCATTTCTTTAACTTAATAATTGTCCTAATTTTGGCAAGCTCCTGCCATCCCCTTCAAGCTCACGAATGCAGCCCCAGGGCAAATTCTAAAGGTGATAAGGTGTCCACACCCCTAACAAAACCAATTAGGACGCTTCCGGTGGTCTTCTCCCAGGCAGAGAGGCGACTAATAGTTCCAGCGATTTAATTTATTCTTTAATTAAAAAGTGAGACAGGACAGAGACCCGTTTTGCAGCCTTCCATTCAGTGGTGTTTTTCCAGCTGTTAAATTGGCGGGACGTGGGGGGGGGGGATTTGGAGACCCCCGCAAGGATGGACTGCCTAAGGTGGGAAGACAGCCCGGAGATCCCCCCGGCGAGGAGGACAGGATGAAGGAAATGCTGGCCACCATCTTGGGCTGCTGCTGGAATTTTCGGGCATTTATTTTATTTTATTTTATTTTATTTTATTTTTTGCGCGAGCGCATGCTAGGTTGAAATCCCTTTAACGTTTAGGGTTACCCCCTGGGCATTTGCAACGACCCCCCTGTGCGCCGGAATGAAGCCTCCACCGGGAGTGTGGGCTCTGCCCTACGTCCCTGAGCGTTAAATGGTTCCTGAAATTTACACGTGTTAATGAAAATGAAGATGTAAACGCTGAGATTCCTTGGCGGCCTCTTCGCCCGTGGGTGCCCTCGTGGCGTTCTCGGAAATGCGCCCATTCTCCCGGCTCGGATATAGGGTGTCGCCGAGCCCCAGAGTCCCCCCTCCATGCGGTCTCCCCGGCTGCGTGTGGCCTGCCCGCCCTCCTAGTTGTCCCTCTCTGCAGAGCCACCTCCACCCCACCCTCAAAATCCCAGGGGACCCACTCGGGGAGGACAGACCCCACCTGCACCCCTCTTCCCCAGCGGGGAGAAAGGCAGCCATGGGGCGATTTGCATTTCTATGAAAACCGGACTTCGGGGGCAACTCCGCCGCGGGGCAGGCGCGGCGCCTCCGGGATGGCTTTTGGGCTCTGCCCCTCGCCGCTCCCCAGCGCTCGGCGCCCGCGCCCCCTCCCCC